AAGACCCAGTTGTCATCACATGCCTCAAATTTAGACTGCAGTTTTGGTCATCCTTATGCCTATGTAATGTTTTATATTTCCTCCAACCATTTTTTTTTTTTTTTTTTGTCGGTCATGGGGCTTGAACTCTGGGCCTGGGCACTGTCCCTCAGCTCTTCAGCTCAAGGCGAGCGCTCTACCACTTGAGCTATAGCGCTACTTCCGGTTTTCTGGTGGTTTATTGGAGATAGGAGTCTCACGGTCTCCCCTGCCCGGCTGGCTTTGAACCGCGATCCTCAGATCTCAGCCTCCTGAGTAGCTAGGATTACAGGCGTGAGCCACCAGCGCCCGGCTCTCTTTATAGTTTTTTAAGTAATATACTTGTACATTCCCATGTTCTGCAGCCACTACCTCTTTAGGGTTCCAAATTGTTCCCCATCATCCCAGAAAAAGACCCCTGACTTCCTTAGAAAGCCCCCTCCTCGCCCCACCCCACCCGCTCCCGCCCTGGCCTGGGCCTGGCAGCTCCTGACGTGACCCGTCAGCTGCGCCTCACAGCTCTGCCGGCTCCTGATGTCATTCACAGCGACTCATACAGTAGGCCACTTCTGTGCCTGACTTCCCTCCCTTGTCTGCCAGGGGCTCTTCTGGAAGGTTCTTCCCCAGGAAGAAGGGGAAGCCACAGAGCTGTCAGCATTTTTCCAGATGAGATGCAAGGTTAGACACAGATAGGGGTATATTCTGTGAGGAACACAGAAAGCACAGGCAAGGTGCGGTGCAGGGGAGGGAGGCAGGTGAGTGGTTTGGCGGGGATGAGTGCTCGGGCCAGCAAGGCGGGCTGGGGAGCTCGTTAGCAATCCTGGCATCCGTGCCCCCTGGTTCTGGGCACATGGTACAACTGTGGTCCCTGTGCTGTGGGGTTTGACAGGTACCAGCTCAGGCCAGACAGGCCAGAGGCATCAAGTAATGGAGTCCCTGCAAGGCAGACTTCCCGTGCCTCTGTGCACGGTATTATTATCATTATTATTATCGCTAGGTAATCGCACAAAGGACTGTCACTTCCACAAGTCAGATTATGAAGACAATGCATCATGAGTCACCCCTGCTTCTAAGCCATTCTTATGACCTTTTTTTTTTTTTTTTTGCCAGTCCTGAGGCTTGAACTCAGGACCTGGGCACTGTCCCTGAGCTTCCTTTGCTCAAGGCTAGCCCTCTACCACGTGAGCCACAGTGCTACTTCCAGCTTTTTCTGTTTATGTGCTACTGAGAAACTGAACCGAGGGCCTCACTCATGTAAGGCAAGCACTCTTAACACTGAGCCACATTCCCAGCCCCCTATTTGTGACTTTTAATGACCGTTGTCCAAATTAAAGACAGGAAGAAAGGGTACCAGGCAATATTCTTTTTTCTTTTTTTGTCTGTCATGGGGCTTGAACTCTGGGCCTGGGCACTGTCCTTGAGCTCTTCAGCTCAAGGCTAGCACTCTACCACTTGAGCCACAGCGCCACTTCTGGCTTTTTCTGCTTATGTGGTGCTGAGGAATCGAACCCAGGGCCTCATGCATACAAGGCAAGCGCTCTACCACCAAGCCACCTTCCCAGCCCCAGCTATATTCTTAAAGTCTGCATGCTTGATCCCCAAGGCCCAGCAGAAGCGAGAAAGGAGGAGGGCCACGTGTCCACTGTCGAGTATTGGTCAGTGGAGGAGCAAGAAGCGTAAAGAGAGAAAAGTGTCAGATCAGGTGTTGGCCAAGCAGAAGGCATTAGAAGTCAGGAAGGGTTGGGAGCAGAAGCTTGGAATAAACACAGGAGGGGTCTGTGCAGCCCAGGTGGGCCTCAAACTCTTGACCTTCCTGTCTCAGCCTCCAGAGGACTGAGCTTACAGGTGTGCGTCACCATCCCCAGTCTGTGGCTTGTTGCTTGTGCTTTGTGTTTATTCTAATTTTGTAAATTACGCATCATAAGAGTTACTGTCTAGCCTGCCACAGATGGCTGGCATTTGTAAAGTTAGCTACTCAAGAGGCTGAGATCTAGAGTATTGCAACTTGAGGCCAGTCTGGATAGAAAAGTCAGTGAAGGGGCTGGGAAGGTGGCTCAGTGGTAGAGCACTAGCCTTGAGCTGAAGAGCTGAGGGATAGCGCCCAGGCCCAGAGTTCAGGCCCCACGACCGGACCCCCCCAAAAAAAAAATCAGTGAAACTCCATCTCCAAAATAATCAGCAAAAATCCAGGATGGAAGTTTGGCTCCATTGGTAAAGCACCAGCTAAGCAAGCAAGCTGAGAAAAATCCAAGGCCTTGAGTTCAATCCATAGCTGGTATTGGCAAAAAGAGAGCTAGAAATAGACAAGAAGTTACCATGTAAACCATTTCTGACATTCAAGTTGGTTGTGCTGAGCACTTTTATACTATTGTCCAGCAGATTCCAGAGCTTTCTCATTGTGTCTGTGTTGCGGGGGGCGGGGGGGGTGTCCTGGGGCTTGAACTCAGGACCTGGGCAATGTCCCTAAACTTTTGTGCTCAAGGCTAGTACTCTACCACTTTAAGCCACAGTTCTACTTCTGGTGATTAATTGGAGATAAGAATCTCATAGACTTTCCTGCCCTGACTGGCTTTGACCCATGATCCTCAGATCTCAGCCTCCTGACAGCTAGGATTCACAGGTATGAGCCACCCGTGCCTGGCTGGCCTCCTCATCTTGCAGAACCGACACTGTGTGTGCCTCCCACAGTCACTTCCGGTGCCTCCCTCCTCAGCCCTGGCAAGCAAAGCTTCACCCCCGTTTCGAGGAATCCTAGCACTCCGGGCTCTTCACATTAGTGGGCACAGCCGTCCTTGGGCTTTCTGTGCCCAGCAGGTTTCCTCTGGGATCCTGTGCCAGCGTCGGAGGAGGATCCAGGACTTCCTTTCTTCCTTTTCTTTGTTGTTGTTGCTGTTTGTTTCTTTTGGTCTGAGTCTGGGCGTTAAACTCTGTACCTGATGCTTTCGCTCATTGGCTGGGGCTCTGCCAAAGGAGCCATGCCTTCAATCGCTTCTTCTTTTCTTTTTGTCCATTGTGGGGCTTGAACTCCAGGCCCCGATACTGCCCCTGAACTCTTCTGCTCAAGGCTAGTGCTCTACCACTTGGAGCCACCGCACCACTTCCAGTTTTTGGATGGGTCATTGGAGATAAGAGTTTCGCCGACTTTCCTGCCCAGGCTGGCTTTGAACTGTGATCCTCAGATCTCAGCCTTTTGCATGGCTAGGATTACAGGCATGAGCCACCAGTGCTTAGCACTCTCTTTCTTTTCTTTTTTCTTCTCTTTCTTTCTTTGTTTCTTTGTTTCTTTCTTTCTTTCTTTTCTCATACCTAGGTTCCAATTCAGAGCCTTATAGTCTTTTGCTTGGTTGGTGTTCTACTACCACTAGACCATGTCTTTAGCTTAGCTTTTTGCTGGTTGATTGGACATAGAATCTGGCAGTTTTCTGTCTAGGCTGGCTTTGAGCCTCAGCCCTCAGATCTCAGCCTCCTGAGTAGCTGGGCGGCAGGCGTGAGCCAGTGGTAGCCAGCTCCGCCTTCCTTTCCCAGGCTGAGTGATATTCCATGGCGTGTGCACACGCTGTGAGGCCACCCGTGGTCTGATGAGGCTGGAGAGGCTCCACTGCTGTGGGGGGGGGGGGGCTGCCTGGAGTTGGCACACCGTCCACGTTGAGTTGTGTGTGTTGTTATACCACACACATAGCTGGCATTACGCACCTCTATACAAACTTAGTTAAAGACAACGACCGCGCTATTTCAAAATAAAGCGTAACTCTGCGAGGCCTGCCTTCAAAGACGAGAAAGCCTGGAAACGTCCTGGGGCGCAGCCCCACCACCTCTTCTTGACCAAACAAACCCACTCTGCCCCCAGCAGCACGAGCCAGAGGTCAGGGTGGGTGACCGGACAGGGCCTCGTTCGCAGACGGGCGGGCGTCAGCAGGGCGCAGGCCCACCGCTGCCGGGCACGGGCGCCCTCACGCAGCCAGGGGCTGTTTGGATTTTTTTTTTTTT